ACTATGTTTAAAAAGTGTAATATGAGACAACGCAAGGGCAACTTAGTATTCAAACTCTCAAAATTACTAAAGGAGTTCTTTTTATGAAATTAAGTTTGGTAACAAAGTGTTCAAGACATGCAAACTCACGGTTCTAAGGTCTCAAGGGTATATTTTTGTTTACTCAAGAGATTTAGCAAGAAAACCTCTAAACCGAAACTTGTACAAAAGGTTTCCAACATACTTTCAAACTCAAAATTTCATACAAAGTTAGGATGTCACATGCAAGGGTTAAAAATTCAAACTTTCTAAAGAATCTCTTCACACAAAACCAAAATCGAGACTTTGAAAGTGAGTAAAGTAATTTTCAAGTGAAAATCCAACATGCAAGTGAAGGAATACAACATGCAAAAAAAGGGATTTTAACAAATCATTTCACGGTTCCAAGACTCCAAGGGTAAACCATTTTTCAAACCAAAGATTCAGCCAAGACAAGTGCAAAAAAACTGAGACATGCACCAAAAGATTCAACATGCAAAGAATAAAAATTCAAACTTTCAAAGGGTCCACTCATCCAAGCATAAAATCGAGAATTTGGAGACCAAAATGGTGAAGAAATCAAATGAAACTCAACATGAAAATGGTGCAATGAACTGATCCAAAATTCTTGAAGATAAAAATGAAATCTTTTCAAGGTTTTTCACAATTTCAACCAAGGAAAGCAAGCAAAAGATTGAAGGATGAGAACGCCCCCTTGCCTTTGAGTTTTGGGCGTGAAATGGTGAAGGAAAGGGCTGGATTTTTGTGGATCTTCAAAGAGAGCTTGCTGGACCGAAAAAATAACAACCAAGATCTTCAAGTTCTTCCTCCTAGGTGAGTTCTTTCAACACAAAAATTAGAGGGATGATAGAGGAAGAAATTGTTGTGTTTGAGGGGCTGGAAGCTCTCGATTTTCTTGAGAGAAATTGAGAGAGTTTAAGACTTTGAGAGGATGAGAAGTGTGAGAGAAAGGTAGAGAGAAAAGAGAGAGAGATTCTCGATTTTTGGCTTCCAAAAGGCTTAATCTCATCTAGCAAATCTATTTATATGGAGGGTTTAAGCTTTACGTGACCAATTGCCACTTAACATTTGTATTTTGGCTTGCTTGGCAAGACTTCCAAACTGAAAAACTACACACGGTTTTAATTGAGTAAAAGCTGAAGTAAATTTGGTAAATTGGTGCAAGGAAAGAGGTGTCACGGTTTTTTGTGCATGAATAGTAAATTTTGAGAAAACTTGTAGGCAAAGTTAGTAAAATTCAGCAAGCAAAATGCATGGAACACCTTAGGCTGCATGCACACAGTTTGGATATCACAAATCCCAAAATCGGCACAAAATACCAAAGCTAAGATTTTGGGGCAGCAATGCATGAAATTTGGTTGGCCGAGAAAATGCGACATGACTAGGTTGTCACTTGGACGAGACTTTTGATGTGGTGCTAAATTCAAGAAAGACAATTAATTAAGGTAATTATGGTGTCGGCATTTTAGAAGACAAGGAAAGAATGTTCCAAAATGATTATGTCTGCAAATTAGGAGACAAGAATCTCTTGCATGTAATTCTAGTGGTCGGTACTAGATTTTGGAAGATTCGGGTAATCATGGTGTTTGCACTTTAGAAGACAAGAATATTTTGCATGAAAATCTAGTGGCCGATACTAGATTTGTAAAGATTTAGAGTAATGATTACAGGACTAAGTAATGATTACAAAATCTTTTGAAATGATTATAAAATCTTTTGAAATAAATATAAAATCTTTTAAAATGATTATAGAATATTTTGAAATGATTACAAAATCTATGTAATGATTACAAAATCGTTTTGCAGTAATTACAAAATCTTTTGAAATATATGGAATATTTCGTAATGATTACAAAATCTACGTAATAATTACAAAATCTCACATTTTTCGAAAATGATAATTATGATTTTTTAATAATTTAAATAAGACAAAATATGGCTTTTTGAACAAGATTCTTAGGGGTATTTTTGGACAGTACAACTGAATACAATCAGGACAATTCTTGGATGATATCGAAGCCAAGTGTATTGCATGCAGTTACTCTAAAATGCAAAACTTAGAGATCAAGTCACTATTCTCCTCAGTGAATAAAAATAGAAAATTCAGCATCTATCTAATTATTCCGACACTAGCAAGTCAGAATCAGCAAATAATTAAAATTCAAGAGCTAATAGCCAACTAACGAAAATTTGGGGCGTTACACATGTCACTCTCCAAGCCAACAAAATAGGAAAAACTCCAAAAACACCAAATAACCCTACCACCAAATTTAGCAAAAGAACTTCAACATTTAAGGACCTTTTTGGACAAACTCAAAGCTGACTTAGAAGGGCAATAAAGAGGCTCAAACCAGACCAAGAAAAAGAAGAGAAAGAGGAGATCAACACACCCCTGCAACCACACCCAAAAAGGCAAAGACAAAATCAAGTAAGGGAGGGGAGTATAGTTCATAAATTGGGTTGGTAATTAATTTTGAGTCAAGGGGAACCCTTAACCCTTTATATTGAATGAAAATTTCGTGGGTCTAATTGATATATGAAAACAAAATTTACTTGCATAAGCAAATCCAAGAAAAACGTTAAAAACAGCGAAAACAGAAAATTCTGCAGAAAAATCTTAACCAATTGTAAGTGGGAATTTTGAGAAAATTTTATTGATGACTTTGCTTGCTATGTGTTATTGTTATGATATTAGGCTGATTATATGTGAACCCATGCCTTGAAATTGATTGAGGGTTTTGTTAAAGTTTTCTATTTATAATTAGGAGTTATCTGTCAGAAATTATCTAATATTTCTGTAAATATTCTTTTGACGCATGATCTGAGTTCTAAGTTTTTGTTTGAGTTTTATATGGCATAAATACTCTAAACTTAGTAAAAATTTCATGATTAGGCTTTGGTAGAATATAAAAATGAATTTTCGTAAATTTTTAAGAAGATTTACAGTTCTGAGTAGTTATAACTGCTTTTGTGTTTATTTTTATTTTTTTAAAAATTTTAAAATCACAAAAATTTTCCTAAAATATTAGCTGGTATTATTATAATATTCTTGATATTTTAGATTTATCTTGACTTAAAATAATATTTTAAATGTATTTTTAAAGATTTTGAATGAAAGGGCAAAAGGAAAATGAGTGCTTAGGATATGTAAATTATGAGTGCCCGAAAAGAAACAAAAATAGTCAAAAATGGGGTATATGTAAATTATGAATGCTTAGGATCTTTTCGCCTGACCTTCTTTTTCCTTTAGTTTGTAACATACTTGAATAACCTAGGAAAAGTAGGAAGTTTGTATTATATTATCTACTGTTGAACAACAACTCCATATATATGTAGATATGCATTATGTGTGGGATATATGTTTTACTGAACAAGTTAAATTTTTTATAGTCTCTAAGTTAAACATAGTAACATAATAATTGTGATGAAACTGTTAATAGTAACAGAGACGTCTCATCTAAAATTCAAAAAAATTTCATTTGTTTTTTTATCACAAACCAAAATTAATTTTTTGTTTTATTAAAACTCAAGTTTGTATGTTGTGTTAACCAAATAGTCTATATTCAAATGAACGATAGAAAATAAATAAAAAAAAGATCAAAGTATTAAAAGATGTCATTGTTAATATAGAAAGAATAGAGAGAATAGTGAGAAATGTGTGAAAACTAAAAAAAAAAATCTACAATTGTAGGAGACGTCAACTTTGTTAGCATAGAGAACAAAGAACAAAAGATTCATGAAGCTTATATGAGTTAAGTAATACTCAATCCTTATGTGAATATTGTTTTTAATAAATCAAACTTATATTAATTTCAAAATTGTGTTTTAATTAATTTTGCAAAAATATAGTCGTTACTATTATCTACACTCCTTCCTAATTAAAGCACAAAATTGAGAATGTTACATCTTCGATAAAATTAGTTATTCACAAGTATAAACACTAACTACAATTTTGGGTATATAAATAAATTAATTTATATATCTTAGTTTATTTATGTACCTTCTATCAATATTATAGTATTTATCTAATATGGGTATGATTTCTTATATAGTTATGGGAATGAGATATGAAGAATACAGCTTGATGAGTATGGTAACCAATATGGATATAGGTAGAAGATATGTAAGAGATACAACTTTTAGGGGTGATAGAACTATAAAAAAAGACAATTTAAATAATAAAAGAGTTATATTTGTAGATTAGTAATTATTGTAATTATTTTTAGCGATTGAAACGTGCACACAATTTTTTTAAGATCTAGGAAAGAATACACTTTGTGTTTGTAAAGGTGTTGAAACAAATCAATCTAATTTGTTGAGATCCAATGCTCTCATTAGAGTAGTTGTGGAGAGGTAATAACAAAATAATGGAAGAGCAAAAAAGTGACAATGAATACTTTTTAAAAATAAATTAAATATTTTTAATAATTTATAAATATTAATTTATAAATAATGATAATGTGATGTAACTAACTAGAGTTTTCTTATACAACTTATTCCTTATCAAAATAAAATTAATAACAAAAATTAATTTTTAACATTTAAAAAAATTTAGAAATTAAATCCTAAAAATTTATTTTAAAAGTTAATTTTAAATAATACTACTTTTATTAGAAAAAGAATATAATTACACCTTTATTCTACTTATATTTTATTTTTATTGGAGGCAGTAATTATATTTTAAACGAATACTTCACGCACGCATTAAGTCGTCAAATAAGGGAACAAAGAGACCGGGCCAGCAAAAGCCCAAAACGTAAATAAAGGTTAGAAAAGAGAAGGAAACCCTAACAAAACGCCTATAAATTTCACAATCTTTTCTTACTTTAACAAACCCTAATCTCAAGCCCTTCTGTGAACGCGGCTGATTCCAGCAACGTTTTGCTTTGCCCTTCGACTCTTCCTTACGCAACATATTCCAAAATTTTAAAATTTTCGTTTTCCTCTTTGATTTTTGGTTGGGCGAAGATGAAGAGTGCTTTGTATATTCTGACACCTCTTGTATGAGATGGATCGTTTTCCATAAATGGTTCGTCTTTGAGCACGTAAAGCAAACTCTCTGAGTCCTACACAACCACGGTTCCAATTCCTTTATTTCCGTGTTTTTTTTGCAATATCTGTTTAAATTTTATTGGAATAACAGGTCTGCGCCTAATATTGCAATTCTTTGCCCATCTATTTGGTATGCCAAGGAATCTATCGTTAGGCTATATTAATCTTATTTTTTCATGTATATATACAATGCTATACATGTATATATATGTGTCGTCTATCTTTAGCTCCGAATATCCTTTCCCCTGATAGGATTTTTCGGTGACAAGATAGTTACAAAGTTTTTAGTATTAAATTAATTATAATTCTTTTTATAGTTCGAAGAAGAATTTTTTGTTTATTGATGTTGAATTTATGATGTTGAAGGATGATGATATCAGACGGATTCCCATTGATATATTTATGTATGATATAACAACCAGCTACTTCTGACAATATCATCTTCGAATTTTTGTTATTAATTTTCGTTGTGTTGAATTTAGGTAATTTCTTAATGATTTGTTTTCTCTAATTTTTTAAGACTTAATTTTAGAATATATTTTAGTTTTCTTGATGGGCCGGTGATGCTAGAAAATATTTGCTACTCTTGATGGGAATCACCCATTTGATGATTCATATCCACCAAGATCTCTGAGGCTACATTTCATTTTACTTGCGACGACTCTGCTTGTTACGATTGAATTTTACATAGTGCTTGCCTCAAATATGAAATCTCTTTCTTTTATCTTCATGTTTTAATAAGATGTTTTATGTTTTGGCTCTCCAATATGAAATACTTAAGGCTTCACTATCTGGTCAGTGTGGATTTGTTCAGTTCCCATTTGACTCGTTCCCTTGAAGCTAAAGCATTGGTGTTGCTTATTTATATCACTCCCGTGGCTTTCTTACTCTCTTCCTTGGGAGAACACTGCAGCAACTAAATTCCTCAAAGATTACATAATAATTTTATTTTCAGTTAAATAACTGCAATGGCCGGAAAAGTAATAACTCGTCATTAAGTTTATTTGGCCCCATGTGGGTGCCCTCAATATGATAACAGAGTTTTTATTTTTCAACTGAAGAGGTTATTTCTTCTAAGGATGCTATACTGCGGATTCTACCTACGGGTGTCGAGGTGATTAATTTTGCTTTCTCGAAGCCTTAATTTTTCGTAGTTATAGATAGTTTTGCTATCAATTATCAGTTATTGCCTCAAATTTTTTTCAATCCATTGTTTCATTACGGGTAGGCATGGTTTAACTTGTGAAAAAATTTGAATTTGAGGCAGAATGAACTCAATATAATATGGTTTTTCTAATTGAATTGTATAAGGATTCGAAATGTCTTAAAGATCATTTAGTACAAAACTAGTTTTATTCAATAATTAAGTTTTTAATTGTTTTGGAGCTATTCTGACTGGTTCAGCACCGATTCTAAAATAATTTTGAATTATTCTTAGTTATAATAATCATTATTTAATTTTTTAAATTGGTTTTTAAAATGTTATTTTCTAAATTGTTTCAGAAAAGAAACCTTACCTAATTACATAGGACATTTGAAGAATAGATAGAGTTGTTAGAGCTAATTAGTTTAGCATTATTTCTAATTTGCGTGGATCACGGCCAAAAAGTACCAGAAAGTAAATTCAAGGTTTTAAGTCAATTATGCTGAAATTACTTCTCTTCATTTGTTCCCATCACACCGATGTAGTTAATAATTATTAAATATGGTCAGCGATTGTTAAACATGTATGTAATCAGCAATTGTTAAATGTAGTCAGCGATTGATAAACGTGCACTGATTGTTATTTTAATATAGCACACATCGGTGGTTAATAATTTTGTTCCAAATTTATATGCTAGTTTTTACAATGTATGAAGTTCTCGTCTGTAAGCATATTTATACAAGTTGTAGGAGTCATAAGGTATGCTTGTATATTAGTGCCATTAAATTCAATCTTAGGTTTATTTGGTTTAGCGTAAACAATCTTAAAGAGGTTTAGGATAAGTTTTAGTGTCATTACATAATGAAAGAAAGTAAAATAATGGTTCAAAATTTTACAAAGTGTATATTTTATCACATAATTCAAGTTACAAAATATCAAAAATGGACTTATAAAACGGAAAAATATTCAATCAATATTTCAAAACTATTCAAATAATCAATAATCTATCAATTAATTAGATTATGAACACTAAAAACATAATACTTTTTTATCTAAACAATTCAAGTAATTTAATAAATGAGAGAAGGTAAGAAGGACTTCTTAAAATCGAGATAGATGGCTGATTAAAAGTGACTTATTGCAAGTTCTCATGAAATATCTTAAGTTGATGTACACTAACTTAGAAGCTTCTTTGAGATTTTATATCCTAGTTCAACAATACCAACAGGTATCAATTTATAAGTATAGAATTATATAATAGAATTTTTTTATCAATATGAAACTTATTACATCTCATCAAGAAAAATTTTCGTGCGCTTTTTGTAGATGTAGTTTTCATGCTTTTCTGAGAATTTTTTTTAACTCTTATAATTGAAGTTTCTTATGTGAGTATCCATATTTACTTTCACTAGTAGATGACATGACTTGTTAAAAATAACTTAATAAAGATACATTTCAATGAGTGTTTTGTAGGCGAAAGAGCTTTCTCTAAGTATAGACTTTAATTCTTTTTATTGAGGTTAGGTTATTGTCTTATCCAAGATTTGCATTATTTTTTATTGATTTGTTTGTTAGTTTAGGAGTGGTAAAGTGTGAAAATTTTATGCATAATTCTACACTTTTGAAGTAAGGCATCTATTGTACGATTGTAAAAATATGATCTTTAGTCATTGATCAATGCCCTTGAATATATGTGACTTAACAAAATTCACAATAACATGAGTATCATTAGTATAAGTGGCTTTTAACTTTACTCACTTGGAGACAATCTATTGTTAATTAAATATAAACATAGCCAAATAAAATAAGAAAGGGATCTATAAAGTTTATATCAACATTTCACAGAAAAGAAGTAGTTGGAGTATCTCATTAGTGTGTTAGATATTTTCAATCCTTTCACATCGCTCAAAACATGGTAGGCCAAATGTAGTACGAACCTTGTCTCTAATAATCTTGTCATTGCACATTATCTAATTATCTTATTATTACACATCTTTAATAAGTATGGATCATCTAAAATGTAGTATTTAGAATTATTTTTTAACTTAGCAGTTTAAGTTTTGAAAAAGTACATAAGAATATTTTTTATAATCAAATAATTTACCAAATTTATATACTAAGAATCATGTTCTCTAATGTAGTAAATTTGCTCATTTAGAAATGTGTCTTGGATGAAAAACTCCTTAAGTTACTATTGAATTTTATTCAAATGATTTGTTACTAAGTTTTCTACATTACTTTTATCTTTTTTATTTTAATGTCAAATTTTTGTAAAAGAAGCATTCAACGAATTAGTTTCGGTTCAGAATATGACTTCTTAAGCTAATACCTCAAAGTTGCATGATTATATAAAACAATCATTTTAGAAGTAAATATGAATAAAATTTATCTAAAGAAAACATAATTGCTAAAAACTCTTTTTTTTATAGTTGTATAGTTCGCTTTGCTTTATCCAAGGGGCAAGAAGCATATGTTATGAGATAGGGTTGTTTCTTTACTTTTTGACCAAGGAGAACACTAATTGCAAAGTTTTAGACATTACACATGTATTCAAATGAAATTTTTCAACTCAAAGGCTGAATGATAGGGGTGGAAGTGAGATTCCTCTTTTTGCTTCTCCACTTTTTGACCAAGGACAACATTAATTTCAAAGTTTGAGACATCACACATAAGTTCAATTGGAATCTCCCAACTTGGATGTTAAATGATAGGAGTGGAAGTAAGGCACTTATTTAGCTCATCAAAAACATTCTTACAGGTCTGGTCGAAAATGAAATCTAAATCTTTTTATAAGAGGCTGAATAATGGAGATGCAATTCTGTTGAAATCTTTATAAAGCGCCTGTAGAAACCTGTATGACCAAGAAAAAGAGCGTACTTTTCACATATAGGTGGCATAAGGTAAGAAAACAATTACATCAATCTTTATTCTATCGGCCTCAATACCCCTATTTGACACTACATCTCCTGATACAATTCTCTTGGTCACCATAAAAATGACATTTCTCATAATTCAGAATAAAATTAAATTGTATGCACCTATCCAATATTCTAGACAAGCTATTTAAACATGCATCAAATGAAGAATCATAAACAGAAAAATTATCCATGAATACTTCAAGTGAGGTTTCTAAGAAATTCATAAAGATGCTCATCATATACCTCTGAAAAGTACCAGGTGTATTACACAATTTGAATGACATTTGTCTGTAAGTAAAGGTACTGAACGAACAAGTGAAGGTTGTCTTATGTTGATCCTCATGATACAAAAAGATCGGTGGCCCATTTCATTAAAGTGCACTCCTAACAAGTCCTCACAGGACAATTTAGAACTAAGGTCAGTGTCCTACAACTACTATCATGACCTAGTAAACTATCCTACCAAAAGAAGGCTACTTTGTACAAAGTCAACTACTCCACTGACTACTCAAACAAAAAGCTATTGGCCATATTAGGCCTAACATAAGTATAATCATCAGGTCCAGAGAGGATGACGATGAATCGATAGCTTCTAATGGGTCACTTTCGGAGTAAAGCGAATCTCTAGGGATCACCTGCAAAGGCAAAGCGTATGTGGGTTTTGCATAATCTGCAGGTGCATGATGCATCACAGTCAATGGAAATGCAAAATATGGAGTAGCAGGGTCGAAAGTAGGATGAAAAAGAGGTACAGAAACGTCCTTATGACTAAAAAAATAAATCCTAAAATGACACGAGCCAACTATATATAGGGAGTCAAAGGTAAGATCATAGTGTAGCTGCATATTCGAGAACTCAATGTAGATCACTGTTGTCGCATCTATCATGTAAATTTGAGTGTAAAACGGAAACTAAATAGTGTGAGAATTTTTAAAATTCTCAGTAGGGTTATGTACGTTTATATTGACATCGCGTTCGATTTTTATTTAAATAAAGGGTTGGTAAACCAATAAGGTAAATCTTTCAATTATGATTATTGAAAACATGGTTCAAAGCGAAGATAAATTTTATGTTTAATATTAGTAATACACAAGATCATAATGATTATGATGCACATATGTAAGTAATTAAGTAAATTGTCGAAAAGACCCAACATGAATAATACATGCAGATTAACATTAATTAAAGTTGTAATTGAAAGCAATATAAAAATAAACTACTATTAATTAAAATACTTTAAATCACATAATCATGTGCTTAATTCTCATATAAGTTCCTATCCTTGGTCTCCTGTGAGTTCTTTCCCATAAGACTCTTGAGTAATAGCCTACTTATCAGGACCGAGCTCGTTCATATACAGGATTGTCATGTTTACTTTCTCCAACAATCCCACTAACTTATTTCCCTTAATTTTTTATCTGGGGTGGCCCAAGTGATATAGGACTTTTTTTATAACTTTCAACCTTCTTAGACCTTCATAACTTTTATATTGTACCTCACATATCTCTTTGAAATTTACAAACTATTCATAGCTCTCATAAAATTTAGACAACATAATGTATCATATTTGCTTCCCTACGAATAGTGCCAGCAACAATATTATAAATAATTCAACAATTTTCATAACAAACAAACATTTACATATATTGTAGCCAAAAAAATAAAATAAAATAAAACCCTTAAATTAATGAATTTGTCCTCAAAGGGATCAATTTTGCCTTGTTTTGTTTTTATTATGTTTATTGCTATATGACTTTAATAGACCTGAATTTTTTATATGTTGAAGCCCTATTTGTCTAATTTCTAATCTATTTGATCCCATTCAATTTTGACAACTATAGCTCAAGATTTTAACTTTTTACTATGACTTCTCCTGTGATTATTAACAGCACTCAAAAATATTAAAATTCACTAAAATTTGAATTTTAAGTGTATAATTACTAAATCCATGTCATTTTAATGTTAAGGGATGAAATTTTAATATCCAAAAAGTTTCATTTCATTTGGTTAAATAGAACTCAAGTTATAAGGTTTTAAAGTTGGTTGTTATAGATTTGCTTTATTTCTAACTGAACTGCTCCATTTCTAACTTTGAAAAAAATTCTGGAAACTGCTCAAATTGAAATGGACTTTGAAAGTTTTATGGTATAAACTAATAGATATTACCATTTTAACAAATTTTGTTTCACCTCAATCCAAGTTATGTGAGACGAGTTATGTCTTACACAAGCTTACTTACCCAAAATCAAAATCTAAAACTTAGGGAAAACTTCAAAAATTCATAACTAAATCTATACTAATTCAATGGCTTAATAATTTATATGTATGGAAAGCTCTGGATGTCTATTTTAAACTAAAAATATTTTCATAATATTTAAATGGTGAAATATTCTATCCACATAGTGTATTTGTGCAGAAGCCCTAGAGAATTCTATTTTTAGACTTGTTGTTTTCTTTCTTTTCTTGGTTTTTCTACTTGATCTACCTTCAATTCACCCAACCCACCATTAATCCAACTATACATCGTAAAAAAACATATCAAATATATCATGGATTAAAAGATTCAAAACATAAATTATACAGTAACACACATCCACATAAACATACCAACAAGGATATAACCCTACCTATTTGAGCACCAAATTGACTCGAAAAAATGTTTTCTAACTTGCAAGTGTAGGTGAGCTTGAGAGAAAAGTTTATGGAAGAAAGAAAAGGAGAAAAATGGAGAAAAGAATGATGGAGAAAAATGACAAATTTATGAGGGGATGAGGGAGAGCAAATATCCAAGTAGTCATGATGAATGTAGTTACTTGTCTAGTTTTGATTTGTTCATAAATCTTGTAGTCTCAAATGAGCCACAAGATTAATTATGAGCCATTGGATCAAGGTGTGGTAGATGGCTTCCCCACCCCACCTTTGGATCTAGGGCATATAATATTATTTTATTATGATAATTTAAATTATTGAAATTATACTGGTTTCTCACTAGAGATCTTTTATTCACCTAATTTCTCATTGGTATTTACTTAAGTTCTACTTTAAATTTTTAATTTTAGTCTACCTAATTAACATAGATTTGAATTCTAATAAATCTTCAATTAGTTCCTTATTAACCTTATTCATGTAACTTAATTGAAAAAATCAATTATTAACATAAAATAGACAGTTAAAATTTTATACGTTACATACTACCCTAGAAATGTCATAAGACTATAACGTTTCTTTTGATTATTCTGTAAATAATAGGATCTATCACATCCTTAGTATCCATTTTTATAGAGGGACAATCAAAACCTCAGCAATTACAAATTATGTTTATACCTTTCTTAGTCATGACTACTTTGGAAGATCAACTCGGTTCACCTTAAAGCAGGAGACTAGTACTAAGGTGGTGGCCGATATCAGTGATCTTGGTGGGGATGAGGACCTGACTCTTGAAGAGCTAGCTGAAATAGAGGATTGACATGGTGATGACAACTAGTACTGTGCCCTCAATGTTTTGAGTATTGATAAGAACTGCTCTTAAGACTTAATTATTTTGATATTGTAATAATGCAATCTAAGTTCTAATGTATTTTGTTAATAATATATAAATATTAAACTTTTTTATGTAAAAGAAATTCAGTATATATATATATATATATATATATATATATATATATATATTTCTATTGTTTCAATGTAAATGTAATTATTAAGATACAATTTATTTTTCATTATTTTAACACCTTAATAAATTTTAGTTTATGGACTTGTTTATAAGAAAGTGTTAATGTTGATATTTTCATACTACTTGTATGAAAAATTTATTTTTATTACTTTATTTTGTTATAAATTATAATATAATTCAAAATAAAAAATTAAAGGTGTCACAAATACTTTATTTAAATTATAATTTTGTTATAAGCTATAGTTATGCTTATTTTATAACTTGATTGAGATAACACTAAACTATATTATTTTTATATTTTAGCATTGTAACACTTAAAAGGTTTTTAAAAAAAAATACTTGAGTTTATAGGTTTTTTTAAAAAATACTTGAGTTTATCTTGGAGAGGTTAGAGAAGATGCACCATTTTGAGTGACTTGTACTGAACATAATAATCCAAATTTGTTGAGTAAATATGTATAAATTAATATGTAGTTTTGATCTTCTTCTTTTTTTCTTTATTTTCATGTTAATGTATAAAAAATTGTTAGACAGAGAAGTTTTCATTTTCAAGTGACAAAGTTTTAAAAACTTTATAAATTTTTGATAAGTGAACCATTTAGTATTCTTAATTAATAATTGCTTAACTATAATTATTTTTAAGTTTTAAAAAATAAAAACTCAATTTAACTCTTTATATATATATATATATATATATATACTTTTTTTCACTTTCTTTTTATAAAAAAATTAATTTAAAATATTTAAAAAAAATTTCATTTGTTATTTTGTAATTATTTTAACACTTTCCTAAAAAATAATTTTTGAATAATATTTTAAAAATATACAACACTAATCAGTAGTAATAAAAGTTAGATACGATCTCATAATTTTTTAGATTGTCATTAGAAGAAAAACTTCATTTAACTTTATTTTTAATTATTAAAAATAAAAAATTAGAACACTTAATTTTATTTGTTTCAATTAATTTTAAAAAATTATTAAAATAATAATAATTATTTTGATGTAAATATTATTTAATATCTTGAAAAACTTATAAAAAAATAATATAAATAATTATTATCAAACATAACAATATTGTAATTCATATGTATTTATAAAAATAAAATATTTATTATACTTTTATAACTTTAATATAATAATTATATATTTTTTATAATTATTTTTATAAATATTTAGTTAACAAAACCCAAACTTTTAATACAGTTATAATGTAATTTCAATATATATTTTCGTTTGTTAATCCTGTACTCAATTAAAGGATAATGATTAGCCAGATCCGACTTCTCCGTTGACTAAACGTGCTATAATAATTACATGGCCAGCATAGATCAATAATACATATACCTTTTTATTACCAAAAACTTTACTCTCATTAGCTCTGCATCTCCTTGAATTTCTCACACTTGAGAGTTCAGTCTTGGAGTCTAATCGTTTCCGCAAACAATCACAAGAAGAAGAAAGTAAGCATGAGTGAAATACCTTCTCACATGAAAGCGTGGACGTATTCAGAGTATGGCCAATCCTCTCAAGTTCTCAAGTTTAATCATAACGTGACTTTACCTGAGATGAAGGATGACCAGGTTCTCATCAAAGTCGCTGCTGCTTCCCTTAACCCCATTGATTATAAGAGAATGGAAGGCCACTTCAAGAACACTGACTCCCCTTTACCTGTAAGACCTCCCCACTTTCTTCCTTCTTTCATTTGCTACATTGTTTTCGCGAAACTTTGTTTTTGTTAAATATTTCTCTCGACCATCTTTTTTATTCCCTTAGTTTTAGCTTTTGGGCCAGCGTTTATAAGCTTGTTTAAGTGATCTTTGATTTATAATGATTTTATTTACATTTGATATTATTTATTTTAAAAATAAAATACTAAAAATTAGTGTTTTTTTTTTTAATTTAATACAAGTTACCCAAAACTTGTTTTGCCCTAAATTTGTTTTTAGATCTAAAATTAATGTCGACACAATACTCAAATGCGCAAATAAGAAATTGAAGTAAATTTATACTCCAATTTTGTACCATTGGTTTTACAAATATGGGAAAGATATGAAAGTATAGAGAAAAGTGCGGTAGAGATGCTCTTCAGAGACTATCACTGGATTACATCTTGGCTGTTAAAATATTTACTTTATATGAGATAAAATGAATGATATCATAGAGGGGTTAAGATAAAACTACAATGTAAAATGTGTGCCCTAGTTTAATAAGAATAATATATCTCCTAAAATATAAGAAAACTCACATTCACTCTTCAAAATCACGTTTGAACCCTCCCAACCCACAAGCATAGGCTTGAGTTTTGTAAAGGCATATGAGCTTTGTAATTTATCGCTTCATTGTCATGCTTGTTCAGAGGATAAAACGATATGTTAGACTGAAACTAGAAGAAAAATAAAATAAAATCGCATCTTTCATAAAATATTGGGATATCTTATGGCTTGTGATATCCTAATTTTGTTCATTTTATTCATAGTTTTTATGTATATGATTTTGTCCTTGGACTGGTTCTGAAGACTGCTCCAGGATACGATGTTGCTGGAGTGGTGGTTAAAGTGGGAAGTCAAGTGAAGAAATTTAAGGTTGGGGATGAAGTTTATGGGGATATCAATGTGAAAGCTTTGGAATTTCCAAAGGTCATTGGTTCTTTGGCAGAGTACACTACTTCAGAAGAGAGACTATTGGCTCACAAGCCAAAGAATCTGAGCTTTGCTGAGGCTGCTAGCCTTCCTCTAACAATTGAGACTGCATACGAAGGCCTTGAGCGATCTGGGTTTTCTGCTGGAAAATCTATCCTTGTGCTTGGAGGTGCTGGTGGAGTTGGAACTCATGTTATTCAGGTATGAGTGTGACCTACTAAAATGTTAATTCATGAATCACAATGCACTGTTAAATCTATTACAGAACATATTCACAGTAAAATTTCTCACGTTTTCCTTGTGTTAACGTTAAAGTTCCTTATGGTTGAAAAAGTTCATTTCGAATGTACAGAATTTACAGCACATATTCACAGTAAAATTTCTCATGTACTTGTTGAGTTGACACTAAAGTTTCTTATGGTTGATATGTATGCATGCGCAAACTGAGAGGCTGTTTCAATAATTTGAATTCCATAGCAACACTAGTGTTTATGCCAAGTCCTCGTATGTTGTTATATTTAACTAATTTATATTTTCTATTTTCATGTAACAAGATGAACACATCTCCTTGTGGATTTGATAACGTAATATCTCTATATATTGAATACAGAATACAATCTCTTCTGTCTTGTTGTCCAAAAACTTCCATATCAATATTTCATGCTAGGTGATTTTAATTTATAATGTCCTATTTGATGTAGCTTGCCAAGCATGTTTATGGAGCATCCAAGGTAGCAGCCACAGCTAGCACTAAGAAACTTGAATTGTTGAGGAGTTTGGGAGCTGACTTGGCTATAGATTATACAAAGCAGAATTTCGAGGACTTGCCTGAAAAGTATGATGTGGTGTATGATACAGTAGGTCAGATTTTGAACCTATATTGTGCTGTCAGAAGTTTAAGTTTGGTTGACTTGTATAACACTAACACTTGTTTACTTAAAAATAATAAACAGGGCAGACTGAACAGGCATTCACGGCTTTGAAAGAAGGAGGCAAAGTTGTGACAATAGTACCACCTGGATTTCCACCGGCTATTCTTTTCATACTCACTACTGATGGGGCTATCTTAGAGAAACTAAACCCCTACTTGGAGAGTGGTAAGGTGAAGCCGGTACTGGACCCAAAGAGCCCGTTTCCATTTTCTCAGACTGTTGAAGCATTTTCCTATCTGGAAACAAACAGAGCCACTGGGAAAGTAGTCATATATCCCATTCCATGAACATTGGCATTTTGTATTCATAACAATTTGCTGCTGTCTATGATTTGAGCGTATGTTTTAAAGAGTGAGATACATTTGTAAATGCTCTCCGTAGCCTAAACCTACCTTGTTTCTCTTGGAGAGAGTGTAGTGGAATAAGTATCTCTTACAAGCTTGATTGCAATTATGGCTTTAACTTCGTGTGGTTTGTGTGCTTTGTAGTGTTGACTAATGAAATAATCATCTGGTTTATAAATTTTTGGCCTTTTTCTTTCGGTTTATTATTTCTTGGTGTCAAGCAATTTGCTTTATATTGTGTAATATCCTGGACTGATAATGTAGTGCTTGGTAGCGTTCATGGCGCTTCCTTAGCTAAGATTGGTCAAAGGCCAGGGTTTGTGGTTGGGTTCATGATCAAACACTTTTACCATTTTAACAGTCACTTGATTTTCTAGACAGGATTTGGAGGTCCCTCCCATGATAGCTTAGTGGTAAGTTAGAAGGATATGGTATGGAAGCAATGGGGTTCAAATTTTGTTATAAGAAAAAATAACACCTTTATTCCATTTCATCCCTAGACCAAAAAGAAAAAAAAAAACTAGGAAGGGGGATTTGGTTTTAATATGATTGAGTTTTGAATTGTATTTAGTTTAAAACTTTTAATTAATTCAATTTAATTTAACTTGATTAATGTCAAGTTGGATTAGAATTGTTTTTCTAGTTTCTTTTAAATTTCAAGCGAAATGCACACGCTACCCTTATGTTAGGTGATTTTACACTTCTTACTACTACTAATATCAATCAAAGAAGAATATTCAACTTCATTGCAAACTTGATGCTTTAAGAAAGCGTAAAATTTAATAATTTTTTTTTTAAAATATAACAAACAATTTAATATTTCATCTCATCCACACAAGACATAAGTGATGTCATTTCTATTTTCAAAAGCTTTATTCTATTAAAAAGTTTAAATATAAAAAAAATGAATAATTAATACCTAACAAGGTCATTTATTATTCTTCATTTCTTATACTTGCATCCTGTATTGAAATTAATTCCAATGCAATCAGTTAAATTTTTTATTTTTTCAATATTAATAAATTTGAATTGATTCAAATTCTCATATGATTATTTATTATTAAAGGTGAGAAAAATCTTAATCACTTTACTATCCTAAGAATGAGAATCTCATAACAAACTTGGACAGATACAACACCAAACTTCTCAACCTCACAATTGTCTAACAATCCACTATTTGAGAAAATTCAACAACGGTCCCCCTCTTTCTTTCTTCCTTATCTTTTTTTCATTCTCCCACTCTCAATGCTTTCTACTTGCAGAGTCACACGGATGGGTGTTGAATGATCTCTTTTCATTGTTAAGAGGTATATTTGTTTCTTTTTCTTTCCCAAACTCTTTTTAATTTTTGTTTTCATTCAATTTTAGGAACACACAACCATAGTTTCATACTTTGTTCAACCTTCTTCTTCCTTTTTCATTATTCTATTGTATATGTTGTTGATTTTTTTTATACAATGCATAGAGCATTCATGATACATTAATTTTTTTATTACTTATACATCTTTGTTATGCATTTTTCTATTGTTTGGCAAGAACAAATGTTAATGAAGTCATCTTTAACAAATTTACATTTTATTTCACTTTTATTCTTTCTTTCATTGTATTTTTTCAGAATGTGTGTTTAGAATGTGAAAATTTTCATATTTATACTACCCTACTAAAATACTCTATTAATACTGTAAACTTCTATTTTTTTATATATATATATTTTGAGTATAATTTTTAATAATAGACCTTATGTGAATATCAAAGGAACTTAATAGGACATTGGATGATCTTTTCTCATTGTTAAGAGGTATATTTGCTTCTTTTTCTTTTCCATACTCTTTTTAACTTTTTCTTAAATTTCAAGAAAACACAACTGCAATTTTGATTTTGTTCATCCTTCTTCTTTTTTCATTATTTGATTATATATATCATTGATTTGTTTTTTATATGATATATAAACATTCATGATTCATTAATTTTTTTTATTACTTACACACCTTTGTTATGCATTTTTCAATTATTTGGAAGGAATAAATGTTAATGATCAAGTTATTTTTAACAAAGTTAGGTTTTATTTCATTTTTATTCTTTATTTTATCAATTTTTCTTTTTTGCAAAATGTGTGTTTAGAATCTTTCATATTTTTTAAAATTTTAAGTATAATATTTTTAATAACAAGTTTTACTTACGTGTGGATACCAGTATTTGATTTTAAAATATAACACTAACATATGTTGCAAAAAGGGAGAATCTCCTTACAAAGTGCATCACAATAATTAAAAAAATATTGTTATGCCTTCTCTTTTCAATCATTAATTTTATTTTAATTTATAAATATGCTATTTTGTAACAGATGATTGACTTTTTTTTTTAAACTTACACTGCGATAAAGCAACTAAAAATTCAAGAAAATAAGAATTTGACCTACTTGTAGCTTCTTAGAAAGTTTGTGTGAGTACTTTTATTAAATTTTGATCAGCATAAAAAATTTACCATTTATTTTATATAATTTTATGTTTTATGTTTTTTACATAATTTTTATACAATTCTTTTTTACAAATTTGATAAAAATAGTTCATTTATTATGCTTTTAAAATAGTTTTTAATATAAGAATTAAAAATTGAATTGATTCAGTAAAAGATGTGATTGATAAATTCTAATTAATATATTAAAATGATTTGAATCAAGTATTTAAAATTACTAAGTAGGTATATCGAGTTTGTAAAAAAATCTATCACACCCACTAATCACACTCTACTAATAAAATAGAAAAAAAATTAGTTTATTTATAATTTTATTTAATTTAATTTTGTTCTAAATATAAGAATTAAAAATTGAATTAAACAACGTAAGAGATATGATTGATAAACTTCAATAAATATATAAAGTAATTTGTATCAATTCTTTGATACTTGCGGTTAGATATCATGCACACTAATTAGACCAAAATGAAAGTATATTATAGAAAATGGTAGCTATAATAATAAAGGTTAAGATGAAGAAAGAAATAAAGGGATCGAAATTCAGTATTGTAGAAGGAAGGGGACAAGTATAGATTAAAATGGAACAACAATTGTTGTAGAATTCTTTTGGTAAAATCTACATACGTACTTTTTCATAAGTTAAACATGATAATTAATAAAAGTATAATTTGAGTCTTTTACTGATATATAATTTTTTATTTAAGAGAAATACTCATTAAATAAAAATTAAATATGTAATAAATATAAAAAATGTTAAAAATATTAAATATAATTATAAATTATAACTTAGTAGAAAATTTAAATAAAAATGAACTTAATTTAAAATATATAAATATATTTTAAGATAATGCCTAATATTTATATAATAATAAATAGAAAAAATAATATAAAATTAGTATATTTGTAGTTTTATTAAATTTAGTTTAGTTCTAAATATAAGAATTAAAATTAAAATTAAACAAAGTAAAAGATGTGATTGATAAGCTCCAGTAAATACATTAAAATAATTTCTATCAATTCTTTTAATTCTGCTTATTGGATAACATTGAGTGTGTGAAAAAAATTTTCACATACACTAATTAGACCTTAATGTTTATCTTTTATAACTATAAATGAAAGTATATTATAAAATATGGTAGCTATAATAAAAAATGTTAAGACAAAGAAGGAACTGAATATTTAATAAATATGAAGAAATTTTAAGCATATTAATCTAATTATAAATTATAATTTAGTAAAAAATTACAAATCAAAATAAACGTAATGTAAAAAATGTAGATATATTCTAAGATAATATCTAATATTTATATAACAATAAAATAGAAAATTTTATATAAATTTAATATATTTGTAGTTTTATTTAGTTTACTTTAATTTTCACTATAAGAATATAAAATTAAATTGATCCACATAAAAAGATGTTATTGATAGGTTAAATTTAATATGTTAAAAGGATTTGAATCAAGTCTTTAAAACTATTAACTAAATAATATCAAGTTTGTGGAAAATTTATAACACGCACTAATAACACTCTAGTGTTCATGTTTTATAACAGTAAATAAAAGTATATTATCAATAACAGTAGTTATAATAATAAAGATTGAGATGAAAAAAAGAAGTTGAAATAACTTAAAAGGATTGTAATTTAGTTTTATGAAAAGAGGAGACAAGTATAGATGAAATCGGGTGGCAAGAGTTAATGAAAAAATATAACTTAGTTTAAATTACAAATTAAAATAAACTTAATTTTAAAAAATATTAATATATTTTAAGATAATGTCTAATATTTATATAATAATAAAATAGAAATTTTAATATAAATTAGTATATTTGAAATTTTATTTAGTTTAAATTATATTTGAATATAAGAATTAAAAATCAAATTGAACCACATAAATTATATGGTTGATAAGTTCTGGTTAATATATTAAAATAATTTGCATTAATTATTTAATATTATTAATTAAATAATATCAAGTTTTTTGAAAGTTTTATCACACGCAATAGTTAAATATTTAATATTTATATTTTATAATAGTAGATAAAAGTTTATTATCTACAATGATAGCTACAATAGTAAAAGTTGAGACGGAAGAAAAAATTTATTTATATAAAAAAACTGTTAAAAGAACTTAAGGGATTGAGATTCAGTTTTGTAGAAGAAAAGGGATAAACATAAATAAAAATGAGAGGGTGACTGTTGTAGAGATATTTTTTTTTAATATAATCCACATAAAATATTTTTTTATAGTTTAAACATAATAATTAAGTAAAAGTATAAATTTAATAAAATACTAAATATTAATAAATATAAAAAATGTTAAACATATCAAATCTAATTATAAATTATAAATTACTTTAAATTAAATAGAAATAAGCTTAATTTTCAAACAATATAAATATATTATAAGATAATGTTATATATTTTATAATAATAAAATAGAAAAATTAATATAAATTTAATAAATTTGTGGTTTTATTTAATTTAGTTTAGTTTTAAATATAAGAATTAAAAATCAAATTAAACCATGCAAATGATGTGATTGATAAGTTCTAATTAATATATCAAAATGATTCACGTCAATTATTTAATACTATTAATTAGATAATATCAAGTTTGTAAAAAAACTTACCATTGATATTGATTAGCCCTAATGTTTATTTTTATAATAATAGATGAAAGTATGTTATCAATAATAATAGTAGCTTCAATAGTAATGGTTGAGACA